TGTTTGTTTATCTGTCTGTTTGTTTATCTGTTTGTTTGTTTATCTGTCTGTTTATCTGTCTGTTTCTTTGTTTATCTGTGTTTGTTTATCTGTCTGTTTGTTTATCTGTGTTTGTTTATCTGTCTATCTGTTTGTTTATCTGTCTGTCTGTTTATCTGTTTGTTTGTTTATCTGTCTGTTTGTTTATCTGTGTTTGTTTATCTGTCTGTCTGTTTATCTGTTTGTTTGTTTATCTGTCTGTTTATCTGTCTGTTTCTTTGTTTATCTGTGTTTGTTTATCTGTCTGTTTGTTTATCTGTGTTTGTTTATCTGTCTGTCTATCTGTTTGTTTATCTGTCTGTCTGTTTATCTGTTTGTTTGTTTATCTGTCTGTTTGTTTATCTGTCTGTTTCTTTGTTTATCTGTGTTTGTTTATCTGTCTGTTTATCTGTCTGTTTGTTTGTCTGTTTGTTTGTTTATCTGTCTGTTTGTTTGTCTGTCTGTTTGTTTGTCTGTTTGTTTGTTTGTTTATCTGTCTGTTTGTTTATCTGTCTGTTTGTTTGTCTGTTTGTTTGTTTGTTTATCTGTCTGTTTCTTTATCTGTCTTTGTTTATCTGTCTGTTTGTTTGTCTGTCTGTTTGTCTGTTTGTTTGTTTGTTTATCTGTCTGTTTCTTTGTTTATCTGTCTGTTTGTTTGTCTGTCTGTTTGTTTGTTTGTTTATCTGTCTGTTTATCTGTCTGTTTATCTGTCTGTCTGACTGTTTGTTTGTTTATCTGTCTGTTTATCTCTTTGTTTGTTTATCTGTCTGTTTATCTGTCTGTCTGTTTATCTGTCTGTTTGTTTATCTGTTTGTTTGTTTATCTGTGTTTGTTTATCTGTCTGTCTATCTGTCTGTTTCTTTGTTTATCTGTCTGTTTGTTTGTCTGTTTGTTTGTTTATCTGTCTGTTTGTTTGTCTGTTTGTTTGTTTATCTGTCTGTTTGTTTATATCCTTGTTTGTTTATGTCTGTCTGTTTATCTGTCTGTCTGTTTATCTGTTTGTTTGTTTATCTGTCTATTTGTTTATCTGTCTGTTTGTTTGTTTATCTGTCCATCTGTTTATCTGTGTTTGTTTATCTGTCTGTCTGTTTATCTGTCTGTTTCTTTGTTTATCTGTCTGTTTGTTTGTCTGTTTGTTTGTTTATCTGTCTGTTTATCTCTTTGTTTATCTGTCTGTCTGTTTATCTGTCTGTTTGTTTATCTGTTTGTTTATCTGTCTGTTTGTTTATCTCTTTGTTTGTTTATCTGCCTCCCTTCAGTCTTTCCTTCCTTCCTTCCTTCCTTCCTTCCTTCAGTCTTTACTTCCCTCAGTCTTTCCTTCCTTCCTTCCTACCTTCCTTCCTTCCTTCCTTCAGTCTTTACTTCCTTCAGTCTTTCCTTCCTCCCTTCTTTATTTCTTCTGTGCTTTTCTCTTTCCATCTGTCATATTCTGTCAGAGAATAATCTTTCATTCAATCTGTCCCCCCCGTGCCCCCCCATGTCCCCCCTGTGCCCCCCCATGTCCCCCCTGTGCCCCCCATGTCCCCCCTGTGTCCCCCCCGTGCCCCCCCATGTCCCCCCATGTCCCCCCTGTGTCCCCCCCGTGCCCCCCCATGTCCCCCCTGTGTCCCCCCCTGTGCCCCCATGTCCCCCCCTGTGCCCCCCCATGTCCCCCCATGTCCCCCCCTGTGCCCCCCCATGTCCCCCCTGTGTCCCCCCATGTCCCCCCCATGTCCCCCCATGTCCCCCCCTGTGCCCCCCCATGTCCCCCCCTGTGTCCCCCCCGTGCCCCCCCCCATGTCCCCCCTGTGTCCCCCCCGTGTCCCTCAGCTGGTGAACATGTGTTCCAGTGACGGTCAGAGGATGTTTGAGGCAGCAGCAGTGGGCAGTCTGTTAGCAGGGGGCCCCCTGGTGGCCGTCCTCGGTGTCGCCTACAACCTGTTCATACTGGGACCGACGTCTCTGCTGGGCTCAGCTGTCTTCATCCTCTTCTACCCTGCCATGGTCAGTCCTCCTCCTCTTCATCACTCAGTCGCCAGTGACATCATCATCATGGTTGACCTGTAGTTATCCTCTGATCAGATGTTCAGCTCCAGGTTGACGGCGTACTTCAGGAGGAGGGGCGTGGCCGTCACAGACAGACGGGTGCAGAAGATGAACGAGATCCTCAGCCACATCAAGGTCATCAAAATGTACGCCTGGGTCAAAGCCTTCGCCCAGGACGTCCGCAGTACGTACTCACCTGCACACATGCTCACCTGGCCGACCTGCCGCTGTGATAGCAGAGCTAAGACATTGTGTCTGTCTCTCAGAAATCCGTGAGGAGGAGCGAAGGATCCTGGAGCTGACCGGCTACTTCCAGAGCATCACTGTGGGCGTGGCTCCCCTCGTCGTTGTCATCGCCAGCGTGGCAACATTCTCCGTCCATATGTTGCTAGGATACGACCTGACCGCAGCTCAGGTGCCACACTGAAAGATACCTAACTACCTGCGGTCACATGTCAGCTAACTGATGGGCCTTCCTCACACCTGTTAGCATTATAGCAGGCTACAGCTAACTGGCTAACCTTGCCACAGTTACAGTATGTCCTTATACCTGTTAGCATTATAGCAGGCTACAGCTATCTTCCGTTGTTGACATACTTCACTGTTTTGATTTTCTTGGAGGAAGTGATGTAACCTTGTTTCCTGTCTGTCTCTGTAGGCCTTCACCGTGGTGACGGTGTTTAATGCGATGACCTTTGCCCTGAAGGTCACTCCGTTCTCTGTCAAGTCTCTGTCTGAGGCCTCAGTGGCTGCAGAACGATTCAAGGTCAGAACACTTCCTGTCCTCCTTACCTTCCAAACTTCCTACATTCCTACCTTCCTTCACTCCCTTACAACCTTTGAGTGAATACATTAATCAGTATTTGGATGGATGAATGAATCAATCAACATGCAGATGGATGGATGGATGAATGAATGAATCAACATGTGGATGGATGAATGAATAAATCCATATTTGGGTGGATGGTTGAATTAATTAATTAATCAATATTTTGATGGATGGATGGATAGATAAATGAATTTAGATTTGGATTGATGAACAAATAAATCAATATTTGGATGGATGAATTAATCATTTTTTGGATGGATGGATGGATGAATCAATCAATCAATCAATCAATATTTGGATGGATGAATGAATGAATCAATATTTGGATGGATGAATGAATCCGTATTTGGATGGATGGATGGTTGAATGAATTAATTAATCAATATTTTGATGAATGGATGGGTGAATCAATATTGCGATGGATGAACAGATGAATCAATATTTGGGTGGATGAATAATTCAATATTTGGATGAATTAATTAATCAATATTTGGATAAATGACCAGATGAATCAATATTTGGATGGATGGATGGATGGATGAACGAATCATTGTTTGGATGGGTGAATGAATGAATGAATTAATCATTATTTTGATGGATGAATGGATGGATGGATGGATGGATTAATTAATTAATCAATCAGTATTTTGATGGATGATGGATGGATGGATCAATATTTGAATGGATGGATGAATGAATTAGTGTTTGGATGAAGGGATGAAACAAAGCTCAGGGTGATCAGAGGACTCTTCAGCTAAAATCAAACCATCTCTGTCTTCTGTTGTCTGTCCTCTGTTATATGTCCTCTGTTGTCTGTCCTCTATTGTCTGTCCTCTGTTATCTGTCCTCTGTTGTCTGTTCTCTGTCTTCTGTTGTCTGTTGTCTGTCCTCTGTTATGTGTCATCTGTTGTCTGTCCTCTGTTATGTGTCATCTGTTGTCTGTCCACTGTTGTCTGTCCTCTGTTATGTGTCATCTGTTGTCTGTCCTCTGTTGTCTGTCCTCTGTCTTCTGTTGTCTGTCCTCTGTTATGTGTCCTCTGTTGTCTGTCCTCTGTTGTCTGTCCTCTGTCTTCTGTTGTCTGTCCTCTGTTATGTGTCCTCTGTTGTCTGTTCTCTGTCTTCTGTTCTCTGTTATCTGTCTTCTGTTGTCTGTCCTCTGTTGTCTGTCCTCTGTCTTCTGTTGTCTGTCCTCTGTCTTCTGTTGTCTGCCCTCTGTTATATGTCCTCTGTTGTCTGTTCTCTGTCTTCTGTTCTCTGTTATCTGTCTTCTGTTGTCTGTCCTCTGTCTTCTGTTGTCTGTCCTCTGTTATGTGTCCTCTGTTGTCTGTTCTCTGTCTTCTGTTCTCTGTTATCTGTCTTCTGTTGTCTGTCCTCTGTCCTCTGTCCCCTGTCTTCTGTTGTCTGTCCTCTGTTGTCTGTCCTCTGTCTTTTGTTGTTTGTCCTCTGTTGTCTGTCCTCTGTCCTCTGTTGTCTGTCCTCTGTCTTCTGTTGTTTGTCCTCTGTTGTCTGTCCTCTGTCCTCTGTTGTCTGTCCTCTGTCTTCTGTTGTTTGTCCTCTGTTGTCTGTCCTCTGTCCTCTGTTGTCTGTCCTCTGTCTTCTGTTGTTTGTCCTCTGTTGTCTGTCCTCTGTCTTCTGTTGTCTGTCCTCTGTTCTCTGTCTTCTGTTGTCTGTCCTCTGTCTTCTGTTGTTTGTCCTCTGTTGTCTGTCCTCTGTTATCTGTCTTCTGTTGTCTGTCCTCTGTCCTCTGTGTTCTGTTGTCTGTCCTCTGTCTTCTGTTGTTTGTCCTCTGTTGTCTGTCCTCTGTCTTCTGTTGTCTGTCCTCTGTCCTCTGTTGTCTGTCCACTGTTGTCTGTTGTCTGTCCTCTGTTATCGGTCTTCTGTTGTCTGTCCTCTGTCTTCTGTTGTTTGTCCTCTGTTGTCTGTCCTCTGTTATATGTCTTCTGTTGTCTGTCCTCTGTTGTCTGTCCTCTGTCCTTTGTTGTCTGTCCTCTGTTATCTGTCCTCTGTCCTTTGTTGTCTGTCCTCTGTCTTCTGTTGTTTGTCCTCTGTTATCTGTCTTCTGTTGTCTGTCCTCTGTCTTCTGTTGTCTGTCCTCTGTTGTCTGTCCTCTGTCTTCTGTTGTTTGTCCTCTGTTGTCTGTCCTCTGTCTTCTGTTGTTTGTCCTCTGTTGTCTGTCCTCTGTCTTCTGTTGTTTGTCCTCTGTTGTCTGTCCTCTGTCTTCTGTTGTTTGTTCTCTGTTGTCTGTCCTCTGTCTTCTGTTGTTTGTTCTCTGTTGTCTGTCCTCTGTCTTCTGTTGTTTGTTCTCTGTTGTCTGTCCTCTGTCCTTTTCAGAGCCTCTTCCTGTTGCCTGAGGTTGACAGCATCCGTGCATTGCCTGGCGATCCCCAGGTTGCCGTGGAGATGCGTGGGGCCAGTCTGGCATGGGAAGGAGGTGGACAGAGCGCTCAGCTGAGCCCACGTGTCCACACAGCCAGCAGACTGAGACACAAGTACACTGACGTCTCTGTCCCCATTCGGACTGGTCTGACAGCTGATTGGTCTGTCCCTGGAGAGGAGGAGGGGCTAAACACTGTGTGGTGTCTTTCAGGTACAGAGACAGAGACGACCTCCCGGAGGGCGAGGGGGAGGAGGTGACCGGCTCCCTGCTGAGAGGACGAGGAGGTGGAGGAGGAGAAGCCTCCAGTCCAGAGGAGGAAGACGGGGAGGAGGAGGCGTGTCCTCCCCTCTTGCATGTCCCCCCTGTGTCCCACCGACTTCAGAGCACCCTGCACTGCATCAACCTGACTGTCCAACAGGTCTGTCCAGGACTCAGGGACAACACAAGGACAGCTCAGGGACAACACAAGGACA